GCGCGCCCCACGCGCGCCCGCGCCTCGGCGCAGCTACGCGCCCGAGGCTGTCGGCCAGGTCTCACCCCGCGCGGCCCGCAGCAGCCTCGCCACCTTGGCTGCGAAGCTTGGCGAGCTGCTGCGCTCCCGCGCGCCGCTCCTCGGCCTCGACCAGCCTCCTTCGCCGCCCGCAGCCCCTGCTCCGCATCGAGCAGCAGAGTCACCTGCGGGCGGCAGCCTCTCCTCCTGCCTCTCGCCCTCCATGGCCACGTAGTCGCCGCCCGCAGCCCCTGCTTCGCATCGAGCAGCAGGTTCCCCTGCGGGCGGCTGGCCCTCCTCCTGCGGCCTGACCTCTGTGGCCTCGCACGGCGGGGACGGTCCGCCGTCGCTGCCACCTGCAGCCACCTCGTCTCCTCTCTGCGCAGGGCCCGCCACGGGCCGCTGGCACTCGACCTGCTGCCTGGCCACCTTGGCCACACGCCTCGGCGACTGCGAGGGCGGCGTCAGCTCGGCCAGCCTCGGTGAGCTGCTGCGCACTCGCGCACGGCGCCGCAGACCTGGCCCTCCGCCGCCGCCCGCAGCCCCTGCCTCTTCTCGTGCCGCGGCAAGGCGCACCACGGCTGCACGCCTGCCGCCAGCTCGCCCGCTCGGACCAGCCGCTGCGCTGTGGTCCTCCACGTCGTCCGCCAGCACCTGGGCTCCGCTGGCCTCGCGTGGCTGGGGCGGTCCGCCGCCGCTGCCACCTGCAGCCACCTCGTCTCCTCTTTCGGCAGGGCCCGTCTCAGGCCGCTGGCTGCCCTCCTGTAGCCTGGCCACCTCGGCCGCCGCCTTCGGCGCCAGCGAGGGCGGCGTCGGAGCGGTCTGCCTCGGCGAGCTGCTGCACACACCCGCGCGGCGCCGCGGGCCTGGCCCGCCGCCGCCGCCCGCGGGCCCTGCCTCGCCTCTTGCGGCATCCTGGCGCGCCGCGGCTGCACGCCCTCCGCCATCTCGCCCTCTCATGCCAGCCTCGCCGCGGTGGCCCTCGGGGGTCAGGGGCCGCGGGGGGCTCGCGTCCTCCCTACCACCTGGAGCTCCTTCTGGCTTGCGCAAGGCGTGGCCGCCCTCCTTCCTCGCGACGTCCTGCGCCTGCGGCGACTGGCCTCTCACCTCCTGCGCGTCGTCCGCCATCGTCGGCGGGGGCGGTCTGCCGCCGCTGCCTCCTGTGGCCACCTCGTCTCCTCCCTCTGCAGGGCCCGCCTCAGTCCGCTGGCTCTCCTCCTGCTGCAGCTTGGCCACCTTGGCCGCCCGCGTCGGCGACCTCGAGGGCGGCGTCGGCGCGGCTTGCCCCAGCGAGCTGCTGCGCACACGCGCGCGGCGCCGCGGGCGTGGCCCTCCGCCGCCGCCCGCAGGCCCTGCTTCGTCTCCTGCCTCGGCCTGGTGCGCCGCGGTTGCACACCTGCTGCCAGCTCGTCCTCTCAGGCCAGCCGTTGCCCTGGAGCCCTCAGGGGTCGGGGGGCGCCGTGAGCCCGCATCCTCCCCTGCCCCACCACCTGGAGCTCCTCCTGGCGGCCTCAAGGGGTGGCCGTCCTCCTCCTCCGCGATGTCCCGCGGCGACTGGCCTCTCCCCTCCTGCACGTCGTCCGCCAGCACCGTGATGTTGACTGCCACCTCGCTGACCATCTTCGGAGCCAGCCCCTTCCTCAGCCTCGCGACTGCGGCGGCCCCTGCCGCCGACGGGACACTCCTGCACTCTAGGTGGAAGGAGCTCGCCCTGGCCGCGCCTGTGAAGCCGCACGCCCTGCAAGCGACCAGCGGCATCCTGCGCACCAGCAGCCTCCAGTCCACAGGCACCAGGAGCACCAGGTCATGCGACGCCCTCTGCTGCGCCTTCAGCCTGTTGTTGGCCCTGGTCGCCTCGGCGACGATGCTGCCAGGGCACTCACCTGATCTGCCTGACCATCTGCAAACCTCACACCAAGGACGCTGGCCAGGCAGCCTCCGCCAGACGCAGGCCATCCTCGCCGCTGGCTCCTTGCGCACTGGCAGGGCTCGCTGCACCTTCGTCTTGCCGTGCGTGGTGTCGCTGCCGTCGACCCAGCTGCCGACAGCCGCGCACCACATGGCTGCTCGTTCGACCACGTCTCGGCTCCTCTCCAGGCGTTCTCTGTCCCTCGCGGGGAGGCGCCCACTGGCCGCCGCAGCCTTTGCTGCCCTGTCAGCCAGTCGGTTGCCGTACCAATCTCTGTACAGCACCTCGCCTGCCGCCACCTGCCGCCGCGTACTGTGGCTGGGCATCCACCTGAGACTAACTTCATGCCCAAGACCTCCTCGCTCGTCCAGCAGGTCCCAGGCTCGCCGCCACAGGTGCGCCCATGTGTACGCGTAGCCCGTGGTGCCTACCCTGCCGACCTTGTAGAAGCCGTCGTACACGTACTTGGAGTCGACCACCAGCACTGTGACACCTTGGCCAAACCTGAGCGCCATGATCACCGCCGTGAGCTCCCCGCCGTTGATGTCCACGCAGTGGCCCTCCATCTGGCCAGCGATGGAGGCCCTGTAGCCGTCGCTGTGCGCCTGCAGCGCCACCACACTCCAGCCAACTGCCGCCGCCTCCTCGTAGTCCGCCTCGAACGCCGAGCCGTCTAGAAACAGCTCGCCTTCAGGAAGGGTGCCTCCTTCGTGGTCGCCCTTCCAGCACACGTCACTGCATACTGGCGGGCGGCGGATGCCCCGTGGTGTCGGCCACAGGCACCTTTCCAGCAGCAGCTGCACCTCAGGTCTCCCGCTCTGCCTTCGAAGATCTGCCAAGTCCTCTGGGACCGTCAGCACCTCACTCCAGCACGGGCAGTCGAAGTGCCTGTGCATCAGCGTGCCTCTGGCGCCACACCTCAAGCACCCAGCACTGGGCGCCAGCCCCTTCTCCTCCTTGCGCGCCTGAGTCCACTGCCCGTCGATGATGAGGGACCTCAGGTAGGCCTGCTCTCGCGCCGTCAACCGAACCCTGGTGCGAGGTGCTCCCTCCTCACGGCGTGGCTCGTCGGCTTTCCTGGCACAGCCAGAGGAGGTGAGCCTGACCAGGGGCTCCAGCTCGCCGCCACCAGCCAAGTGCGCGCACCCTGGGGCTTTGCTGACCTGCCTCCACTGCCAGCGCTGCACTGCTCTCCTCATCAGCTTGGCCACGACCCACGGCGCACAGTCGAAGGGCGCGATGGCCACGCCGTCGTCCATGACCCAGCGGTTGGCGGCGACGACGTCCCAGCCGATCCTCCTGAGGGAGAGCACCGTCGCCGCGCACGGGCCCTGCACGTGCACCCAGGACACGGGCCGCTTGTCCTCGAGGCCTTGCCACACCATGTGCAGCGGCACCCACTGCTCCCAGACCGCACGCAACAACATCAGCACCGGCTTGCAGGTCGCGTCGTAGATCGGGTCGAGGCCAGCCTGGAGCATGAGCCCGAGCGACCTGGACTTGCTCGCCGTGGTGTTGGAGACCGCGACGAACGTGAGGGTCCTGGCGCGGTCCAGCTCCCCTTCCGTGCAGCCCGTGATAGCCGTGCCGTACCCTATGCACGGGTGCAGCCCCGTCTTCACGATCCTCTTGGTGGCCTTCCGCTTGGCCTTGACCACCTGCAGCACTTTGATCCTGCGCAGCCTGCCTCTCGCCTGCGCCATCCTGTCGTGACGAACAGCCCGTCCTATCCTCTTGCCCCCACTGAAGTCGACCCCCAAGTTCCTCTCCTGCCCCGTGGCGCGCACCCCCCAGCGGCTTCATCAGGCGCTTCTCGAGCTCCTGCCTCGCAGCTGGCACATTCGCTAGCGCCCTGGATTTCTTCACCGCGATCTCTAAGTCGGCCTCGCCGAGCAGCGCCTTGAGATGCCTGGCCGCCAGCGTGAGGTCGTTGACTGTCCGCTGGAAGCCGCCCACCCTCTTCAAGATGATGTCATCCACGACCACCGACATCGCCAGCGTGGGCACCAGCTCCTGAAGCTTGTCCAGCGGCTCCAGCAGCAGCATCTTGAGCATGAGCGTCGCCAGCCCGTCTCCTGGCAGCACCGCCTGCTCGGTGCAGATGGCGTTGCTGACGGCTTCGTCCCGCGCCAGCCACCTGGGCGCTCTGTACAAACTCACCTGCAGCTTGAGTTGCCAGAGCGGGAAGCCCGTCCGCTGGGCGGCCTGGATGAGGCGCCCATGCTGCACCTGCTCGTACGCCTTGAGCAGGTCCAGGAGGATGAGGGCCGCGACCCAGCTGGATGCATCGCCAGCTTCGCGCCCCTTCGCTGTCGCCCACTCGCACTCCACGGCCTGCTGCCAGACTGCCCTCTCGCAGCCTCGGCCGCGCGCCGCCCAGAAGAACGGTCGATCATTCCTGCGCTCCCACTCCTCCGCCAGGGGCTTGCGCAACCTCGTCTGCACCCTCGCGAGGACGTGCACGATGGCCACGGGGCGCACACCGCCCAGCCTCTTGGCTAGGAACACGATCTTGCTCTGGATCTGCGGCCACTCCGCGGCCTGCTCGACCGCCACCACGATGTCAATGAGGGTCTCAATCCCCTCGTCGCTGAGCTCCAGCAGCTGCCTCGGCTTGATCGCCTCGAAGCCCGTGGCCGTGCCCTTCCTGAAGGACCTCAGAACTGCCCGCATCCCCTCGCAGCTGGGCCTGGGGGGGCGCTCACCTAGATCGGTCGGCCACTCCAACTCGGCGTGGCTGCACTGCACCCTCCAGATCTTGCTCCACTCCT